TGAGGGTGGTGAGGCACTGGAACAGGTTGCCCAGAGAAGTTGTGGATGCCCCATCCCTGGAAGTGTTCAAGGCCAGGTTGGATGGGGCTTTGAGCAACCTGGTCTAGTGGAAGGTGTCCCTGACCATGGCAGGGGGGTTGGAAGTTAGATGACCTTAAGGTCCCTTCCAACCCAAACCATTCCATCATTCTATGATTCTATGATATCCATGTTCAGTTATATGATGGTTCAGTGTTGGGGTTATAAATTCTGGGAGTGATTACAATTTTATATACATATATTTTTAAAGCTTTTCAGTAACAGTTCTTAGAGTGTTTTGGGACTTACAGGGCACTGCTAATTCAAACTTAACCTCAAATTTCTCAAGATACTGTGCAAGTCTTTATATCTATAAAGTGCTATATTAATAAATTTCAACTGATCTACTGAATCCAATTCTTCATTTTCTTCTCCCCTCATTCTTGAACCTGACAATATGAATCTGACATTGATTTTCATAAAAGGAAAAAAAGTGTGCCACTTACAGTTCAGTTACATCTTTTGGGATGCCTTTAGGCAAAGCTTTTAGACCTTTGTTGCTGCAGCGAACTACTGTGTCTAGACAAGTACATTCTGCAGGACAGCGGGACAGTGGAGAGCAGCTATTGTCATCATTTCCTGGTTAATAAAACCAAAGAGATGCTAAGCTTGCTATACAAATGTCACTTCAGTATTGGCAATAATATCCCATCTGGAATGCCCGTAAGCAAACATGATATTTCTATATTATGGTATCTCTAGGTAGGGAAAACTTTAAGTCATCTCTGTAAACCATCGCTCCAAGAATTTACATTTCAAGTGACGCTTTATGTAGTACAATGCTGTTTCACTAGGAAAAATGCTATTATATGGAAAAAAAGATCATTAAGAAAGAACAAAACTTAAAATGAAAGATAATAAAGCAAAATATATGTTGATTTTCAAAATTAACGAATTATTAAAAATAAACAGATTCCCTTTAAAGAAAAGTTACAGCCTTGAAAATTGACAAACTAATAATGCAATAAATGGAAGCACGTATGAGAGAGACGCAAAATAGCAGCCATCTTTTTTTTGAGCGTTGAGGGGAATTCTGACATTCAGGAAGTCACAAACTAAGCAAAATGGCATATTATTTGATCAAGTAACCTAAAAGAGCACTTGATTCAAGCATCAGCATTTGAAAATATTCTTATCTGAACTACAACATTTGATCAATTTATTTAATTTTTATATTACCTCTAAATTTTGATTTACAGTACTGAACATAGGCAAGAAAAACTTTTGAAAACATATATACAATAGCTGTGTGCTTGCTGATCATCCAAAAATGGGTGGAAGATTTTTAAACTGACGCAGAAGCTGAGATTGAAGCGCAAATTAAGTTATTTAAAGCATAACACTTTGGGTTCTATGGGAATCATGCAGCTATACATATGAAAGCTGAAATTATAAAAAGTTCAACTATTAATTTTCTTACCATCATCGCATGTAAAATCCTGAATTGCCACATCTTGGATGGGAATCTCTTTGAGGAAGTAGGGTTTTTGGCAGCGAGGGTTCCCCGTCACAATGCGTTTCTTCCTTAGCCAGTCTCCAAGCCATGCGAGGTGGCAATTGCAGTTGAAGGGATTGGCCAAGAGGTTTCTGAGAACCACAGGAAAGTTTACTTCAGATTACACCATTTTTTTGTCCTAAGTATTCTATTTCTATTTTCAAAAAGCTAAGCTTAAATACCATTCTTCAAACAATACTATGTACAAACATAGGTGAAAGCTGTAATTTAGGCTCTGTGTGGTGAATCTTCATTAACTTGTTTAGAAATAATTTAAAACTGTCAAAGACCTGACTTCTTGTCAAGCCATTCTGTACTGATAATGCAATAACTTCATATAGAGATGAAGGCTGATTACTTTACATTATTAGCTTTAACCTGACAACAGCTATTCCATTAATTTGTCATCTCAAGATTTCCATCTTTTATTTGCTCCAGAGAATAAGTTTCCTACCTGAAGTCACAGCTAAGTTGATTACATGCCAGTTATAGAAATGAATTTACTTTTAGAAGTCAGTACTTTCAGCACAAACCTCTTGACAGTTCCATTATTTATAAACATGCCATCCTTAATATGCACAAATTAGTCACTTGGTGCAAAGTGTCACTTTTTATGTAAAAAGGGGATTAAGTACTTTCCTGACTGATGCTACCTACAAAAAGCATTTCTTCAGTAAACTGAGTGGCAGCTTCACTCACTGTTTTCGCTTCCCTTAAATTACAACATATTTAAATAAAAAAGGGATGCTTCTTTTTATAGAAAATGAGACTGAAGCTTCATTATAAAACATGTATGAATTAAGATTCTCAGTAGGCAGAGAAAATTTAAGATAATAATCGGACAGCACAGTGCAGAAGGACAGACAACATGGTGATTCGACCAGCTGCGATCATGCGATGCCTACCTAAATTGTGGGTTTCTAGCCTGGCTGAGATCAGTGGGCTTCTGCAAGGGGGGCAACCAGGATGTTTTTCCTGCCTTCTCAGGCAATTCTGGAAACCAGTCTAATGCTGCATCTAAGGGCACTATGAAAACACACTCTTCATGTGTCCAAGATGACCCAGAAAATAAACTTTCTCAAAAATCCCTCTATGAACTCATTTCCCTCAACTTTACCTCACACTGTGAAACTATACAGTAAACCATTAACAGAAATGTCCCCAAAATGTTAGAGGTTTAAACTTGGGTAAGGTAAAACACGAACGTGACTTACAACGTAGAGAGCGAATGCAGGGTATCGAAGGAGCCAGGTGCCACGGTGGTGATCTGGTTGTCATACAGCGAGAGCAGGCGGACTGAGCTCAGGCCCGTGAAGCTGTCGTTTCCCACACAGCTCACGCGGTTGCTCCTCAGCATCCTGAGAAAGGAAGGATCAGCATTTCTTAGCTTAGCCCGAGCAGGGGCTGGAGCTGAAGTGGTGTCCTGAGCAGGGCCTGAGAGGTATGACTCCGAAAGGACTGCTACCAGTGGAGGAACCACAAATGCAGTGACGCCTGTGCCACCTGTCACCTCACTGACGGGACTGAGTGCAGTGTGCGTGGAGGGGACTGGAAAACAGAAAGGTGGGTGGCTAGGTTTCACAGAGGCAAGGGGTGTTTCCCCTAAGCATTTGTGTTTTTTTTTCTTTCAATACCAGAATCAGTAATTATGAGTTTGTTAACTGACAATAGATTAAATTGATTGAAATTCCCCAAATCAGAGATGCACAGCAGTCCCCTCTTCATGTTTCCAACCTAATGACTCCAGAACTGCTATTTACAAGGAGCAGAAGGTTGTACCAACTGACCTCCTCCTGAGGCCCCTTCAACCTGAATTTTCTTACGATAAATTCTATAAACCACTTCTACTACATTCTCAAGCGTTTCAATTAAATGAAATCAGGCTACCCTGACTCCTCCTCAGCATGACTCTAAGATTTAGTAAAAATTTCAGAATACTAAGCAAGAAACGCCTATTCTAAAATCTCTCATATTTCTGTAAATCATATGAGCTTTGAAGTTTGCTGTTTTCCTACCTGTCCATCAATAAATGAATATTTTTTTCCCCACACTCTTGTCTAAGAATAGCTGCTTCTAACAATTTTAGCAGCTTTAAATGATAGGCCTGATTTATTAAAAATACCTAACGTCTATGGACAGCTGAAGCCCCAAAGACCATTTAATCTTGGCTCTGCTCTGCTGATCAGAAGAACAGGCTCTCTGAAGAAGGCCAAGAAGCTGTGGATTGTATAAACATCTTTTTTTGAGTGGAAAGAGCTAAACTGCCTTAATGGAAAGAATGAAATTAGTTCAAGCTATAGTGCTTTTACTCCTCCCTTCACTGTTGAAATTACATTAAAATTACTTAGGAGAGAATAATTTCCCACATTTCAATATCCACCAGAATCATTTTTTCCTCTAGCAAAATTCCCAGTAATGGTTGCACTGAACTGAATCAGACTCCATTACGTAAAATGTGTAATTCCTGTACAAAATTCTGTTACTTTGAAGCAGATGATTATTCCCATTTCCATTTCTGCAGTTAGATGTTTACCCATTCTCAACCGCTTCATCATTTTAGAGGACTCGTAATTTCTGTAGTCAAGTAACCACAACGAAGAATTTCAGCTACCCTATTTCCATAATTAAATAATTAAAGAATTCATATAACGTATGATAACTTTTTGTAAAATAGGAACAAAAACTAAGATATGCTTGAATAATCCATAGCTAATCCTCCAAAATCAAAGTTTTTAGGACAGACAGAATATTACTTTAAAAATACCTGGCAGAAGGGAAGAATAAAACCATGCAAATAATTACACTTACAGTGTTTTGAGACTTTCTAGTCCTTTGAACATTTTGTGTCGAACACTTTCCAAGCGGTTGCTAGTGAGCAATAGTTCATTCACGCCAGAGGCTCCATCAAATGCTCCTTCTTCAATATCGGTAATCTTGTTATTGCTCAGGTTTCTATCACACATTAACAGAAACAGAGAAAAACATGTTTTCTTTTTTGAATACCCTAAATTAACTGTTAAATGCTGCAGACTGCATAGATTTCAAGATACTGACTTACTGTTCAAAAGTAACAAATATATTGTTCAACTTCGAACCAATAAAAGCAAAATTCAATGCCCTGCTAACTAAAGAAGTAAAGATTTTTAAAGCAATCTTTGGAAGAGGTTTTTAAAAAATGGCAATTGCCCAGTCCGTGCTGCTGCCACACGAGAACATCTTTTCATAATTTTGAATGTTGTCAGTGACTGTATATTTTTTTCATGTCTCCAGTCCTTGTAGCATTATTAGACAAATTAGTAACAAAATGATACTCTGTGAGTACCAGCACAACTAATCACTCTGATTTCTTTATTACATCTTGGTAGACACAAATATAAGAAAACAGTATAAACAGCAACATATGTAAATGGAATGTGTGAATGTAAACAGTAAATGAAATGTTAATCATTTACGACATTAGTTAAAAAGGAGGTTTTATAAGCACGATAGTTCATTTATCTGCAATTCGCATGCAAAGCAGATCAAAATGTGGGAAAATGACCAAAATACTGCCAAAATATTTAGTGTTTATGGTTTTTAGTTGAAATATGGAAATTACATCCCAAATGGGTAGTATCTGTACTATATATACAAAAGCATACATACCCAACAACACACAATTTCTTAAAGATTTTTCATGTTATTCTTGCCTCCTTTTGTTTTGTTTGTTTCATATAACTATTTATACATATTACAGAAGTACATATCTACACACTAAACTGTTATAACACACTAGTGATTTTTAAAAAGTTCTTAAAAATGCTCTGAGACAACGTAAAATGAAGTGAAGCTAAAAACTTTTTATTTGATGGAATTAATGGTGTTGGGAAGAAAATCAAACATTATTTGATGCAACTTCTAGAACAGCTTTAATTGTGTTCAAATCAAGAAAATACTGACTTACTGTTCAAAAGTAACAAATATATTGTTCAACTTCGAACCAATAAAAGCAAAATTCAATGCCCTGCTAACTAAAGAAGTAAAGATTTTTAAAGCAATCTTTGGAAGATGTTTTTAAAGAATGGCAATTGCCCAGTCTGTGCTGCTGCCACACGAGAACATCTTTTCATAATTTTGAATGTTGTCAGTGACTGTATATTTTTTTCATGTCTCCAGTCCTTGTAGCATTATTAGACAAATTAGTAACAAAATGATACTCTGTGAGTACCAGCACAACTAATCACTCTGATTTCTTTATTACATCTTGGTAGACACAAATATAAGAAAACAGTATAAACAGCAACATATGTAAATGGAATGTGTGAATGTAAACAGTAAATGAAATGTTAATCATTTACGACATTAGTTAAAAAGGAGGTTTTATAAGCACGATAGTTCATTTATCTGCAATTCGCATGCAAAGCAGATCAAAATGTGGGAAAATGACCAAAATACTGCCAAAATATTTAGTGTTTATGGTTTTTAGTTGAAATATGGAAATTACATCCCAAATGGGTAGTATCTGTACTATATATACAAAAGCATACATACCCAACAACACACAATTTCTTAAAGATTTTTCATGTTATTCTTGCCTCCTTTTGTTTTGTTTGTTTCATATAACTATTTATACATATTACAGAAGTACATATCTACACACTAAACTGTTATAACACACTAGTGATTTTTAAAAAGTTCTTAAAAATGCTCTGAGACAACGTAAAATGAAGTGAAGCTAAAAACTTTTTATTTGATGGAATTAATGGTGTTGGGAAGAAAATCAAACATTATTTGATGCAACTTCTAGAACAGCGCTTTAATTGTTCAAATCAAGAAAGATTCTATTTGTTAGAACAAAAATTCATACACTTGCCAGAATGAATTGGTGCCATTATCTAAGACACAGAAAACAAGGAGTTGTGGCTTAATCTTGAGTGCTGACTACTCATCTCTAGCCTAGCTGTAATTTAACGTATACCTTGCCTGTGATGAAGTATACAATCACTGCTTTCATTTAGTTTCACAGTGGGGCTGGTCAGTCTCCTGTAAGGTGCTGCACAAGACTGGAAGCAAGAAACTCATTATTTCTCATCTCAGCTGGCTTATCCATGTCAAGCCCCTAGTTTCCTAAAATCTTACTTGTTCCTGGTGTAACATGGATACTACTTCACCCACTTCACAGGGATATTTTAAGGATTCATGTTGCATAGCTAATCAATGATGCAGTGCATACACATGCTTTATTACTGATGAACCATCAAATCAATTAAACATTTAGGCCCCAATTTTTCAATGTCATCTGTGCAGAAAGACCTTTGCACCTATTTGAACCTCCAGAAGAAATATGAGCTCCACAAAAATACAGAATTCACTGGTATTGGTGTCTCTGTAACATCACTACCTCACTGCTTTCCAGTCATGCTTAACCAGTCACTATTACTATTCTCTAAATTGAAGAATGTTGTAACAACTGATAACTATATTAGGAAGTTACGGAGCAGTATTATTAAAAATTATAACTTTTCATTAACATTTTCTCAATTTTGTTCCTCCTCAGTTATCCAGATTTCAAAGCTCTTGGGAGTTCCAGCAGACAGCTACACTACGACTGATTAATATTCTTCCTTTTCTTTCTTTTGTCTTGAACACCTCCTCAACTAAAAAGCAGCAAAGATGACATGAAATGTTTACTAAGCTACCTCTATAGCCTGAAAATATGTAATTACTGACAATATATTCCCTTTTCCCCGTTTTTCTTAAATATGAAGAACTGATATATGTGTGCGTGTGTGTGTGTGCTTGTGTAGGTACGCCACATCAAGTATTTTATTTATTTTAAAGGCACTCTGTAGCTGTAGAAAGTGCTAATCGGAGATCCTTGAGGAATGAAGAAAACTGGGTATTAGCACCAGAACACTGCTGTGCCAGACATTCCTACATTCTTTTTTTAAGTATCTCAGCCCAATCTGAAGTGGCAAGATGTACTCAAGTGGATAGATCAAAAGCAAAGTTGTTTTTTGTTTTGTTTTTTTTTTTAATCTTTGTCTACTAAATAAAAAAATCAGTAATAAGTATTTAACTAATCATGATCATGACAGCTGCCAGCAAGGATCTGCATAAGGCTAACAATAGTTTAAGTAATACTATTGCTCCCCTTGAGATTTTGGTCACTAGTAATCTAGACTGACCTTTTACAAATGGTAGTAACTTGGTGACTACATTCAAAAAGCAGTGCATAATTTTAATTAATCTGATCTATTTTTACTTGCATTTTTCTTCACTTACTATTTATGTTTGGAATTAATCCTGAAAAGATTGAGCACAGAGTCACTAAGTCTAACTAAATGATCTACCCTCAAATATGTCTTTTACATAAGCGAAAGAAAAGCTTTTCATAGATTTATTTTTAGTAACAACTGCAACTGGTAAGGTTATAAACTCCTCTTAGAACATGAACTGTGAACATGGACTTACATGGATGAACTATCACATCTTTTTTTTTCTCAGTCATTTAATTTTTATATTCCCCTCATCTAATGACAATTTAATGAAGCACAGAATCAAAGGCATGTCTTGAATGTGCTGAAAGAGGCAAAATTGCCTGGTCAGGGAGTAGTACGGGAAGTTACAAAAGATTACTGGAACCTTTTTTGAGCAGCTTATACTGTGAGCTCCCTGCTGTGGCTGTGTAACAGACCAGCTGGCTGGACACTGCAGTGAAGGTGCTGGAGCTAGACACCATGAGAAGTTGTTACTGGCAGTGCCTAGTCCCATAGAGAAGAGCTGCCAACTCTGATCTACCTCAGTGAGTAAATTAAACTCATTCTTGATTTTTGATTAGAATATACTGAATCTTTTATAGATAAGAACTAAGAAAGCTGGAGAAACACAGCAAGGAGCTAATGTGCTATCTGAATAGACAAGGTCACTGAAGTTGCACTTACATTTTACGCAGCTGAGGAAGTTTCCTAAAGATTCCAGTAGCTTCCAGGACTGAAAATTCGTTGTTATTTAGTCGCCTACAAGAAATAACATCAATTTCAGAAAAAAATATTCAGGCACTGGTACAGAATGTTCCACACTAAGTAAGCTTTTCAGACTGGTTTAACTGAATAGCTGGTATTCAACTGGTAGCTGAAGAACAATTCCGTATATTCTGACATTTCTAATTCTGGTAATTCCTGTGAATGAACATTCTCATTAGTTAAACTTAGGCATACATAAGACATACAGAATCAAAACCAGATCACAAAATATCATACAACTAAAACTGCAGGGAAATATAAGATGATGTTTTTAATTTTTCTTTTAAGGGAAGAAAAACAAAAATGTAACTAAGGAAGGATTCCATGGCAACTTATAAATAAAAATCTTTAAGAAGCACATATAAACCACTGAAGATTAGTTTACTGTTCTTTAAAGGGTATCAGGTGGGGTCTGCCAGACATCTGGTGGTGCTCACAGAACACTATTTGCAAGAATGAAATAATTACTTTATGCTCAATGCTTATTTTGAATAGGGACTGAAACACACTGCATAGGTCTTCCCAAGAATTTAAAAACACTTCTCTGACCATCGTTTAACTTCAGACCACTCCACCTAACACACAGAAATTGCGTAAGGAAGCATTAAATGCTGCTTTGTAATGCTACAAGAAGGTATACAATGAGCAACAAATACTAGCTGGATACTGATCTTTTCTGCCCAGGTATCAAGGCTGTTCCAGCATAGTATACCTTTAGCAGCTGCTAGGGTAGGGGACCATCTATATTTAAAAAAATATTTGCACTGACCCAGTATTCCCTATTTTCTCTCTTGAAAAGAAAACGGAAATTATGAGCCTTGGATTCCTTATATGTTTTAATGGAATCATCATATGAAGGAAGGGAGTCTGTCCAGCTTTTATTTAGAGATCTTAAATAGGAAGGAAAAGAGATCACTGACAAGATCACTGTGAAACGAAATTCAGCATAAATCTAAATGCAGAGTGCTTTTCAGAATTTCCTTATTGCAAGACAAGATTAAAAAAAACCCTAGAAAATAAAAGAGAGCTGCTCGTTCATCCTTTCTTCCTGCTTATTCTCAATGATAGCCAGAAGGGAAATTAAGGTTGTAAATCTGAAGGTATGGCTGTACAATAGTTTCAGCACGGAACTAAACTGAGAGAAGGCAGGAAGAGTTTTTTTGGATATATACGGAACATTTGTATATCACACTGAAGTACAAGGAACATGAATGTCAAAAGATGCTACCACCTCTGAAAATCAGCTGGATGACTTAATGTGATTTTTAGTGGGACCGTATCAAATGAATTTTTTCACAGTGTCAATTAAAAAAGTTACATCATCATTGAAAACAGCCTTTTTTTCTCTGTCCATCAACAACGGAAGCACCATGTGTTCTATAAATGCTGACATTTTCAAATACTTTTCAAGTGCTATATTGTCTAGAAGAATGACTTGTTTGTAAAAAGCAAGGCTGTTCCAGCATAGTATACCTTTAGCAGCTGCTAGGGTAGGGGACCATCTATATTTAAAAAAATATTTGCACTGACCCAGTATTCCCTATTTTCTCTCTTGAAAAGAAAACGGAAATTATGAGCCTTGGATTCCTTATATGTTTTAATGGAATCATCATATGAAGGAAGGGAGTCTGTCCAGCTTTTATTTAGAGATCTTAAATAGGAAGGAAAAGAGATCACTGACAAGATCACTGTGAAACGAAATTCAGCATAAATCTAAATGCAGAGTGCTTTTCAGAATTTCCTTATTGCAAGACAAGATTAAAAAAAACCCTAGAAAATAAAAGAGAGCTGCTCGTTCATCCTTTCTTCCTGCTTATTCTCAATGATAGCCAGAAGGGAAATTAAGGTTGTAAATCTGAAGGTATGGCTGTACAATAGTTTCAGCACGGAACTAAACTGAGAGAAGGCAGGAAGAGTTTTTTTGGATATATACGGAACATTTGTATATCACACTGAAGTACAAGGAACATGAATGTCAAAAGATGCTACCACCTCTGAAAATCAGCTGGATGACTTAATGTGATTTTTAGTGGGACCGTATCAAATGAATTTTTTCACAGTGTCAATTAAAAAAGTTACATCATCATTGAAAACAGCCTTTTTTTCTCTGTCCATCAACAACGGAAGCACCATGTGTTCTATAAATGCTGACATTTTCAAATACTTTTCAAGTGCTATATTGTCTAGAAGAATGACTTGTTTGTGAAAACATTTATTGATTCTAATAATTCTTCCTTGCTGTGCTCTACTGCAAACATTTCTAACCCCATTGAAAAAGACAAACAATTTGATCCTTTCTGCTTCGCAACAACCTTTTACATATTAAAAATAATTTACTTTGTCTCTCCCTCAAGTTTCCTTCATACAAATGCATTCAATCTTTTCAGTTTTTCCTCGGAAGTCTTCTTTTCTAGATGATTCTTGTTCTCCTTGAAATTTTTTCCAAGTGATCCATATCCATCTTGAAAAGTGAAGTCCTTGACACAGTATTCCTGCTGATATTTTAATATTGTAAAGTACAGTAAAATAATTATTTCATATAACTTACATACTACACTCCTGTACATACATCCCAAAATGACATTTGTAGCAGCGCCCAATGGCACTCCTTCATCTTTCATAGGTATGATAACACCACCATAGCCTTTTCTCTTGAACTATTTCCTGGTTATTCCTCAATCTTGTATTTGTGGTGCTAATTAGTCCTACCTAATGTCAGATGTAGAATTTGAATTTTTATTTTATTTAAACTAGTCTTATTTTACTATCAATATTACAGAACAATTTTAAGAATTTTCCGTGTGTTTTGAAGATTTTCAGTATTTGAGAAGTTTCTCCATACTTCTCTGATGGAAAAGAAGCATGGGTCGAATCACTGTATTGTGTTTGGTTAAAACTGTAGCACAAATCATATCTTCTCTTTAACTTTGTATATATGGTGATATCACAAATCATGCATCATCACTGAGGGTAGATCCACAAATAAAAGGATGTCAAGAGTTACAAATTATGGGTTTGTGGTCAGAGGAATGACTACATGGATCACATGGCATTTCTATGGCTGGAATTTGCTGGCTTTAGATCTGGAACTGTTAAATACTTGTGCAAGAAGTTTTCATTCTATTATCATGGTAAGTGATACCACACACAGAGGAATCAAAATTATTACAGATGACTCAAAAATTAACAGATGTGGTGGTATCTTCCTTCTGGATCTTAATATAATTATTTTTTGAGCCCAGTGCTCTTTACTGGTAAAGACAATAATGATAGTTGTTACCTGCAATCACTGGATCATGAAAAGGATCTTAAAAATACTTGTATCTTGTTTATTCAGAGCAAAGTACTGAAATGTCATTCTCAAAACAAAAAAGTAAACAAAGAAGCATCTGATATTCTGTTATACTCTGTTTCTCTGTTTTATTTGATGCTTTTTCCTGTTTTATTAACACAATGGGAAAGATATTTGCATGTTTTGGTACAAAAGCTGAACCTTTCTGGAAGGCTATGTACGGCAGTCATATTCATGCTTTTGAAAACTATCTTGTTAGGATTTTACAGCTACTGTAAAATCATTACAAAAATTGAACATATAAGACTGAAATTGTTTTTATTTAGCGTTCCTCCTGGGGACTCTGGTTTAAGTGATTTATCAAATGCTTCCTGAATTTTCCTATATATTAGAATGCTACCTGAAAAATATTTTATTTCTGGGGCGCATTTACAGGCTTGTACTTTATTTCAAATACTTCAATGGCAGATCAGACAGATCTTTCACTGGTTTTCTGGAAGACTGTGAGCAAGCAACAAAATAGAAATAGTTAGAACAGCACTTGGCTCATTTATAAGTTTTTTCACCTTTTACAATTAAGTATCTGTCTTGAACTGTATTATTACCTTCAGATTTTTTTAAAAATGATGACTCTGAAGAAATAGGTTTTTTGATGTGATATTATTACTGTTGCAATCTACACAATCAATACTCTTCTCCTCACTTTTGATCTTCGTTTCCAAGCTGAGTCTCAGCTCCAAACAACACGCTGCAGAAAATAATCTAGCCTTCCTCATCACTGTTATAGAAGCATCAATGTCATTTGACTCTAACAAGTATCTTTATCTCAAATTTGGGGGGTAAAAGAAAAGAAAGGCTAACTAGCTGCTCTTCTCATATATGCCAGTAAATGTTGTGAAATGGAAATCACAGAGTGGCCCTAGAATTAGACTGGGAAGTCCCAAGAGGAGCAACAAAGGCAGTGCATCAAAGACCAGGAATAATAGGAGGAAACAAGAGACAGAGCTGTAACTTCTGCATCGGTGAGGCAAATACCAGAAGAGTGTATTTAGCTAGAGCAATTGGATTTTTAGATGAAGTAAAAAAATGCAGAAATAATTCCTCTATCCCCTCTAGAATACTTGCAAGGCTGTTGAAATTTTTATTACATCAAAAGACTTGAAGAACAATCTGTACAGTTTATCAAGAAGAAGGTTGAATAGAGACTTTGTTACAGTTTAAGACCATCTTACTTGGATAAAGAGCCAGAAAAGGGCTCTTTAACTGCAAAAAATATAAAAGAAGCAACGATGGAAACTGAAGACAGGCGGATTCCATCTGGAAGTAAAAGTTCCCATTTTAAAAGATTTTAATAGAAGTGAAGGGAAATGATTAACTTCTGCAACGCTCCCAGGGAAATGGTGGATTTTTAATCCACTGATACCTTCAAACAAGACTGGATGTTTTCTGAAAGAAGTGCTGTAACCAAACATGAATTATGCTTTAGTCAAACCCAATTTTTTTGTTGACTGAAATTTGAGAGTTTAGGATACACAGCAGATGAGGCTTGATGATTTAATTGTTTCTTCTGTATTAATATGTATGAATCATAATTATAGAAGGAAAACACTTGACAGTTTACCTTCCACATGTAAATAAATGAATGTGAAAAACAACAATTAAAATACTAGATTAAGATTATTATTTCTTCAGAGGAGAGAAAATTAAACATGAATCCTGCTAAGAATCAAGACAATGCATGCTTGTCACTTCAACAACTCCATTTCTCATCTCTTGGTTCAGTAACTATGATTTTTACACTCATTACTTTATGATCTCCTCCTACACTTTAACCTGTTATCCACTCCATCAGTTTTTATTCTTCAATTCTAGTAATTTTATCTCAAAATATTATAGCATAACATTATATACATTTGATGAGTGTTTTCTGTCTTCTTGTGGACCTTCCTCCACACTAAAATCTTCTTTCTTTTTCCCTCCTTCTTGGTTCTTCACCCTCTATATTGTATCCCTAGCAAATCCTATGTGGAAAAAAAAAATGTATTTCTCCACTGAAATCTATCTCCCTTTACCCAAGACTGCGTATCAATTTTTTCTTCCCTGGCACTACTTTATGAACAGTAAATCAACAGCATGAACATGGCCAAAAGCTGAGCTTTGCTTTTACCACATATGCCTCTTTTTCAATTGAATTTGCCATCATTCTGGGCACAACTAGAATTACCACTCAGACTTGTAATTAGAACATCACCAAGTTTAACTCCCTCCCCCAGCTCAAAGACAGACAAAAATCTCCATCTCTATTTACACAATATTTCCATTTCAAATTCCTTTTACTGTCCAGATATACAAAATCCTTAACTATGGTCTCAGTATTTCATACCTTCACTGCTGTACTGTTGCTTTGATGCCAGCTGCAGACTGATTATCTTTTAAGAGATGTACCACGCTGTTGCTCATCTCACCCCTGTGGGTCACAACTTGATCACAGTACATCTCTGTCCCCACTTTTCTACATCAAATCAAAGTCCCTCTCTTTTGCCCCTCAACATTCTTCCTTGTTCTTTACACTGAATCTCCTAGGAAAAACAGCTATTTCCTCCCACCTTTGCTCTGCCAATGATGGCTACTTTCATCTCCTGCCTTTCTGCTGATCCTTCAAGCATCTCTGCATTCCCTTTCATACTATGCTTTGCGCATGGGAAAACCTTGTAAAGCTGTCTTAATTTTATTTTTCAATCCCTCCTTGAAGACCACGTCAGTTGTAATGCCTATAAATCATTCCCATATGGCACTTATTAAGCAAGTAATAATCTGTGACTTCTTTTCTGCTCATCTCTGTTCATTATGTTATTACCTCATCTTTTTAACCCAACTCTGTCTTGTTTGTCTGCTTTATCTTCCTCTGGTCTCCTGCCTGACACACATAATGTGTGCTTTGCACAAGAAGAATCAGCTCCGTTTTATTAAACACCTAGGTAGCACTTTTTAAGACAGACACCTGGTTTCTGGATGTCCTACTTGCTCTTGTAGTTAAAATTAAAAGCAAAATAAACCCCACTACCTTTCAAAAAAATCCAAGAGGGTAGCTCATGTACTGGAGAACTAGAAACATAGAATAGTTACCTTATTTATTTAGCATAAGTTTTTAAGGCTACACGGTACTGAAATGATGCATAAATAATTTTTGTTAATATCTAGTCCTTTGAAGTGCACCACAGAGGTTACACTTAATTTTTACTGTTCAAAACAATAAAGCTGTGGTTTTATATTTGAAAATTTTAGTTAGTTTTTCCATAAGCAAATAATGTTTCATTATGGGTTCAACTTACAACTCTGCTGTGTACTGGGGGATGTGATCAGGAATTTTGTTGAGTTTCTGATTGGAGCAGTCCACTGTGGTCCCTTCACAGCGACATTTCTCAGGGCAAGCCAAATCTGCAAAGCAGTCTCCACTTAATTTCGATCTGTAATCTTCAGTGCCTGTGGAAGAGTCAAGTCAAAATACAGATACTGAGTCAATAAAGTATAAGATTTGCTTCTTGTGAGAAGGCTGAAAAGATGTCTGCAATGCAGATAATGGGTGGGCAACTTGGGAAATGTATGATAAACTTTGTGATACTGAACAGACACAAGGGCTTCAAGAGAGGGTTAAATATAGGGGCTTAAGATATGCTGGAAAAAGAAACTGTGACCAACTTCACATAACAGGATAACATTAACTTGAGCTTTTCACAGCTGTACTTTCTGCTGATTATGTTGTCAGCCAATCTAGCTTTGTTCATAGCTAATCACACAAATGCCACTGATTTTTTTAGAATTTATTTTCTTTCTCTCTATCAAGAATAAATAGATCCTGAATGCCACCTTTTCTCTTTCTCTTGTTACAAATTTGTATTGTTGACTGGACTTCATTAACCTCTGTGATTTTTTGTTCATAGTCTCCATACTCCACATCATCTCAAACATGTAAGATTGAAAGCCCTGTTTTCAGCTTTAATTTAAAAAATGTGTGATCCTGACTTAAGCCTCAGCAGCTTGCCATGCTGTAGAAAGCTGCGTGACGTTCCATGGTGCTTGACAGAACCATGTTTTACTCATACCTCACAACCACATGGTTAGATCAAGCACAACAGAAAATCTCGCTACATTATCAAAACTGCATCCATTAGGCCAAGGATAAGAGCAAGGGAAAAGAGGAAGGAGTAGGTATAAGTTACAGAAGCATCTGAAGTTTAATACTTGCTTACATGACATGGCATTCTTATTACTGAATGTCCAGTGCCACAGTAACAGTATTACTGTCACAGATTAAATAAAAAGTACAAAAAAAATGAACCACATTGAAAGTTTCCTCCACCATTTCCCAGAGTCAGTCAAAGAAAACGTCCTAAACATATCAGGAGAAAACATCCAGTAAGGAACTGAGGGTGGGTGACAAAGAAAACAAAGAGAAGCTGAAAGGACCTGTGGGTTCTTCTTGGACAAAGACTGAGACTAGTAGAAGGTGCATCAGGGCTGGGAGGTACATTGTGATTTAGCTCAGACACTGAACTTTACTTACAGCCAAAATGGTGAACTCCTGCAAAAGTAAAGATAGCCAAGAAGGAAAGAAAGACAGAGTAATCCCAATTAAGACAAAAACATGAACTAAGCTCTCACGTTCTCTACTCAACTTTAGTGTGATTAGAAGATGTTGCTAAGGGGTACCATCGTCAGCAGAGAGAAAGAATAATTCATTTTAAGTGGCATCAAAAAATGAAGAAAAGTTCGGGGTTAATTACAGATTTCATATAGGATGATAATGCCTCCCATGCATTATTCTTCACTATTTTGAATGTACTCTTTAAAAGCTGCTCCCTTGAACATATACACATGCTATGCCACTTAAAACCTTAACAAACCAAAGAAACATAGGAGAAACAGATTCCTCAGGGGAGGAAAAAAAACCTCAACAGTCATCACGTATTATGTTATCTAGCGTTTGTAGATGTCTAAGTAACACATATGATATAACTACATGGAATATTTCTATGAGCTAGCAGACAAGTGATATTTTTTCAAATTAATGATTTAATACTTGTATAACCTTTAGTCTTCCAAATGACTATAATGAAATTCTACTAAGACTTCCTAGCATCTGCAGAGGAAGATCTCCCAATGACATATTTAAAACAAATATAAAAAAAATTTAAGTTTTTAAAGAAATGCTAACATTTTTACAGTATTTACTGATGTGTAAAGAAGTGTTTTTAGCTCTTTTAAATATCCAATAAGCAAGGCTACAAATACATTTTTTTTCCTCCTGCATCCAGAGTAAATCACCGTTAGCAGTTTAAAGTGAACAACTAAAATATTCAGGGACAAGGTCTTCAACAACTAAAATAATTTTATACAGCATCTTCCTGATAACCTGATAGAAAGAGAAAGCACAGAAGCTGTATTTCAAGAAGCAAGTCTGTGGCACTTTTTGATTAAGTCTTTTTCTTCTTTTTTTTTCAGGAATAGCATTTTTTAAAGGGTACATGAACAAAATACTAAACTGCATGTGTGGCCATATTATAAACAGGCTGTGAAGACATTTGCTGGCAAGAAAACACTTCTAACTCAGAGACAAAAGTTGTGCTGGTAAGGTTGAGTGGAAGTCACTCTGTGGCAGGAATACAGCTGTTCTACTCATTAAGGAATTGAGCGGTACTACAGGTTTGAGAAATTGAATCCCCCTCTGTTTTATGCTGCTTTAAAACACATTTTCGCGGCTGCCAATGCTGACAAATTGCTGCCTTATTTTGTATTTCATCTTTTCTTCATATTCAAACCAACATATTAGTATGAGGGCATGAAGAACTTCACATGATTACCGCAAATTTAAGTGATATATCACACAGCATTAGGAGAAGAGCTGTTAAACATACCAGCTTAAAAGACAAAGACCACTGCAGAATGACAATATACCTGTAGTACTTGAAAGAACAAGTGCACTGGTGTCATAATCAATTATTGTAGATTTTTTTTAGATATTAAGCTATGGTAGAAAACCCTCCTTGCAAATCACATACTGTAATTCATCAATAGATTAATTATTCCCTTGTTTATTTTGCCAATCAATCATTTATAATCTGTTAGGAACATAATGCAAGTGCATCATTGTTTTTTTTCTATTAAGAAATCAGTGCACACACCTGACAAGCCAGGTAAAATAAATAAAGAAAAATATTTCAAAGAGCTAGGGCCAACATCAGTAAATCTTTTGTGAAAATATCATAGACTTATTGTAGCTTAAAGCGGTGTGTAAATTGCTGTTTCACCCCAACTCTAAAGTCGTATTTTCTTTAATGGAAAGCATTTTTGGTTCATTGTATGCATGTGACCACAGAATGCCTTTAATGAAGAATATCAGCTTTCTTTTCCAAGCATTCCACTGTGAATTCGTAAACGCAAGGAGGGTGAGCAAGCAGTAGCTGCAGCCAGTGTAGAGCATGAAAGCAAGGCAAGAAAATGTTCATTTGTAAAATGTTTATTTTTTTAAAGTTGTACTAGCTCTTTGATGGTAGTATGGTTTCCTGTGTTTAAAAGCAGCTCAGGAGCTACATTTTAAAAACAGTAGTGGCAGAAAGGCAAGGTACAAGGTAAGTAAAGGTGTCAATCGAAATATGAACTAGCAGGTGCAACCTTCTAAATAATTTAAGTAGAGGTATAATTTTGGTAGGTTGTGTGCAAATTTGTAAGACAAAAAAAGTAAATGGAGCTGCATGCTAAGCTCTTATGTTCAGAAAACAGAACTACTAGTAATCTACAAAGGAAAACTATGTCTAGCTACAGGTATTGACTAATGTTAATACACATGCATCAGTTTCCTAAAAGCTATAACAAACTTTGCTTTTTTGGGGAAAGGGAGAGAGTATCTGCAGTTAGTCAATCTTACTGCAGAGCCAAACCTACCTGGAATGAAATACTGTTCTTTAGCTAAATAAAGAGAAAAAAAAATAGAAGATGCACCTGAATGTCAGCAAGCAAAGAATGAGTTTTATTAGATTAAGTATGGACTACAGTTAACTACAGATAATTAAGTGAAAAAATGTGTATTCACAACGAGAGCTGATAAACAACAAAGTGTGAATAGTCATAAATGTATCCGGAACATGGATAACGAACAGTTCTCATCTGGTATTTGCACTTGAGACTGAATAAATTGTAGAATGTGAAATGCACCTGGAACAGCTGGATACCATATGACAAAAGTTAGGATTTAGAGAAATGTAAGTAGGAAATGGAATAAGATTAGAAAAAGAAAACAGTAAATTTCAGTATGAGGTAAGCTCCCTGTATAAAATGAATGTCATGTTTCCATATTTAGCTAGAAAATTTTAGATCTTTCACATACTCCAGAGCCTTGTGGAAATTTTACAAAATGATTTATGTTGGTGATACTTGTAGTGAATAACTTTAGCATTTCATTCTGAAGTATTATATATTGCATTTCGTTTGTTAGATTTAATGCTACTCAGAAATAGTGCCAAATATGCTAACTATAGTAATGTTCCGTGATCCCATAGTCTATGACTTCCACGATTTCCCTCCCTTCAGTCAAAGAACTAAAAAAGATTCTGCAATGTTTAAGAATTCCATAGAGAGCCAGCTGCCTTCATTAGAACGTCTATAACCACTTTTTTTGCCAATAAAAGAAAAATGGCAGCTGAACTAAGAAAATTACCTGAGCAGCGGAATTTCTTGCTTTTGATCTGGCCGATCCTTTTGTTTGCCAGACGGCGGGGGCTGGTGCAACGGGCACCACTGGTCTCAATGGGGTTTGCATGAAGATAATCCGCCAGCCACTTCAGATGGCAGTCACAGATAAATGGGTTCTGAGCCAAATGCCTTTCATGAAGAAAAAAATGATAATTTCACACATTATTTCCCTTTGGTCTCAGCAGTTCCCGATATTTTTAGTACCCTGTAGAATATGAAGTCATACTAAAGACAACCATAAACGAGCATACATACAAGGTCTGAATTGCACGTAGGGGTGAAAAGGTGCCTTTTGCAATGGTCTGAAGCTTGTTGTCATACAAAGAAAGAAGATTCAAGTTGTGCAGATCTTGAAAAGCATCAACTCGCAGGCAATTGATCTTGTTGGCATTCAATAATCTGTTTAATGGAAGACAATTATAAAATTGAGATAACTCAGTGTCGCTGCAGCTTCAGCGTTTTTCACAGGTAATTCTTTGTGCGCATTTGTAACCAGAACAAGAGATGTAGTAACAAATATTAATTGACAGTGACATAAGGCATTTCAGTGAATTGAAATATCTTATATAGGTGATCTGAAATTATTCCTAAATATTTGTACCTTGGAGTTGAAATGTGTGGGTTTATTCAGCTAAAATCACATTTCTTGTATGTGCTGGTAGAACGTGTGTGTGTGGTATTTGTCTGTGCAAAGAAACAAGCTTAAAAAATCAAGTATCTGCAAGGAAAACTAGTTCCTTTTGCCAAATAAATAAACAAACAAAAAAGGAACTGAACACTGTGTTCATTAGCTGGAAGAGATGTGCAGTGGCACTTTTAATTATATGTTACTAATCAGCATGCTGCCGCATTAACAGAGTTGTAGTAAAACCGGTGGCATGGAATATATCCAAATCTGTCTTGGATCCTTTTTCCTCTCCGTCTTCAAAGGGAACCTTTTCTTCCCTGTACCTCCCAGACTTCTAAAGTTAAAACAAACAAGCCAATCTAAACCAACTCCTTCATGCTTTTGAAGAGAAAAAAAATAAAAATGTCATTCAACTAGATGTATTTTTATAACCAAATATTTTTTGTTTTTTTTCCCATTTCCAGCCAGAAATTGAATGGAATGGTGGATTTGAAAACCAATGCTCTGATAAAGAGTTTCACCACACAAGTAGAAATTTACTTAGACTAAAATGTATTGTTTATGCAAAGTATATCAACCTATGGACATTTTTTTAAGAGAGAATAAACAGAAGTTCAGAGATGTCTCTTCTTTTTTTTTTTTTACAAAATCTGAAATATGTTTTTATAACTAAAATCTCTTTAAAGGAAAACAGGAATGCACACCCCCTCACTACTATACTAGTTTGTGACTAAAATAAATCAAAATGTAAACCTCTAGGTGGTGACAGAACTTTCATTTTCTTTGTATTTACTTACTGTTTCGCCATCTTCAATGAGTTGTTAATAATAGACATTTTGCCAATCACTACACTGTGAAGTCTGGACATTAAATACTTCTAATCAAGTGGGAAGAAGCTTTAAATTCTTTAAGAAGAAGCTTTACATCAACAAGTCAGTTATTCTGGGACAATTTCTTCCAAAAACACCACCATTGTTTTATGGCCTATTTTACAAATTTCTTTTACACAGTACTAGTGCACAGCCTCTTCTGCTAAATATTGACAATATTTGATAAACATATCATCATGACATTCTTCTTTATTCCCAGTATTAAATCTAAATAGAAACAGTTTATAAAATTACACATGGAAATTTCCAAAGTGTTACACGAAATAGCAGCTGGAGTTCACAGAGTCAAAGAATTGTACAGAGAAGAGTGTCAGAAAACATTAAAAGTCATCAATGAAACTGTACTGCAACTCTGTTCTTCCATGGGTACAACTAGAAATAAAATTACATAGCATTTGCACTACGTATTTTCTCTGTATAAAACAAACAAATATTCCTTCTATGGTTCCCACACAACTTTATACATACTATTTGCTGTTTACAGAGCAAGACAGTATCATATCTTATGTGTTTTATCCTTATAAATTCCACACAAGAGAATAGTTTCATTTTAATCATTTTAGGCTGAGACATTAACTGAGATATGATCAAATTTGTGGATGAATGGCAAGCTGGCCTACAACAGTCTTGACTCCTTTGGCTTTAACACAATTTGTTTTTATTATACTCTGATCTTACATACGGGATTTCCTGCCAGTTCTTCTCCAGGAATAAATCTCTTATTGTGTTTCCCCTTCTGAGTTATCCCAAAATAGAATAAATACTAAAAAAATACTCACAGCAATTGCAGAGAAAAGAGTCCTTCAAATAGGCCCTTTGGAAGTTCTGTAATTTTATTGCCATAGAGGACACTGTACCAGGAAATAATAAAGCAAACAAAGCCACCATTACAAAAGGCGTATACTGTATGATTTTGACTTTAAAAATAAAGAAATTTCCATTTTCCTGAAGGGAATTTAACAGCAACAACTTGATACTTGCAAGATCCTTGTGGTCCTGTGAGGTAGCAGGATCACACATTTTCCCAAAAGGTGTGTTGCTCAAAGAGCTCTCAGCAGAATCAGCACCTCACTGTTTACAGCCTTACCAAGGGACCTTGATAAGTGGATTTGCTGTTTGTAAAAACAACTAACTGGGGAATAAAAGAAATGTTTGATTTTGTTCAATTCTTTGCCATGAATGTATTTATAAAAAACCCATACATTTTTAGTGTCCAGCTGTGATACAATATTCAATTATCACTCTAACATTCTGAAATCATTTTTACAGCTTTCAGAATTGATCAAAGTTCTGCAGGGATCCAAAGATCCAAAATAATTTCACTATAAGATTATGAGAAATTTGCTTCTGTTTTTACAGGTCAAACAAATACCTACAGTGAATTGAGTGAACGTAAACCCTGGAAAGCATCGGGAGCTGCTTCAGAGATCTGGTTATTGCTCAGGTCACTGAAATAAATGAAATTTGATTCAATTAATTCAAGCTATTTTCAAAATAGCAAACGTTAAAATAATATGTAATTAGAATTAGGCATGGAAGGGAGAGAGAAATTAAAGTATTTATGTGAGAGACTGCCGAAGAATTTTAATATAAAACCACTAAAATTGCCAGTACACTGAAACAAAATGCATGATTAAAAATAGACCTTTCAAATGTTTAAAAAAAAAGTGACAAAAAGATTTAGTCTTCCTAATTGCTTAAGTACATTTTATAAAGAATACTCTGTTTGCTATGGCCACAGGACTATACAGCCTCAAAGATATTCCGAAATAACAGTGGCTTATCCCCATTAATTTATTTTTTTTATAAAATATTCACTACAGTAACATATTGCTTCTATGCAGGACCATATTAAATAATTTCAATACTTGGTAAAGAACCATTATTATTAATGTGACAAAGATGCTATACAGTCTTAATAATCAGGCTGCCATATCAGTTAATCTTTCAGCAGTCAAATTTCTTAAATGCTCACACATTGACTGCAGTTCCTCTGTATGACCTTGACTTGTTTTTTATTTTTTTATATATGTGTGTGTGTGTATATATATGAAAATAAAAAATTAAATCTAAATTATTGGGTACGTACATTCTTCGAAGCTTTTTATATGGTGAGAAAGCTCCAGGAGGTATGACCTTGATTGAATTTTGTTCTAACCGTCTGCAAAAGAATAGCAACAACATAAAAATACAAACCCCAAGCCAATCAGCAATCTAAAGCCATAACAAACTAGGAGGGATAGACTTTAACACAGAAGGCTGCTTTTGCTTTCTTTTTCAGTATATTTTTTATCTTGAGAAACAAGGTAATTTCATTTCAGCTTTCATTACAAAAGAATCTGGTTTTGTCTGTAAAACCAAACCTTTTAACCTATAGAGTGTAATGTAAATTAAAATCCAATCTTGATTTTGTATCCAAAGAAAACTTATTTTCAGAGCACACAAGATTTTTGTAAAATTTAAGCTAGAATTGTCATTAAAAAATTCAAACTTGAGTTAGTGTTAATTGACTCCCAATGTATTATTCACATACAGCAATTTTTATAGTTTTATTTAGAAATGTCTGTTATTCACATACAGCAATTTTTATAGTTTTTTTCAGAAATGTCTAAAGACTTCTGTGAATTAATCATTGAAACATGCAAACCATAGGAAAGGGGAGAGGAATGTTCCTTCAGAACAAATAATGTATGTTGCTACCTACAGTAAGGCAAATGCCATATTTTTAAACATGCACACATGATTTCTTTAGATACAGTACGTAACACATTTTCTTTAAGATATAATACTAGGATTGCACAGCCACACCTCTAACTTTTTTAGACAAGTGTTTTAATCTAAAATTGTAGTTCATGTTACTGGCCACGTTTGCTTTGTATGTATAGTGACTGTGACTGAAGCTTGCCATACTGCAAAGTGTGAATTCGCTGATGGAAACAGTTTTCCAAGAATTTTTTGAACTTTCAGAGCTTTGCATATGGGAAATCTATGCTGATACAGACCTATGGCCCACTTGCCAGCAAGTCAAAACAGATTCAGCAATAAGCACATTTAAAATAGAAGCTACTTCTTCACACACCACAGTATTTCATGGTTACAGCAGTGTAAAAATTTCTATTGTGTAGACATAAGGAATGAAACTATTTATACTAAAAAGTACAACAGGAAAAGGCAGTATTATTTGAACTACATACCACGCTTATCTAATAAGCTTTCTATTTCCCTCTTACATGCACAGGTATCAACTCTTACTACGATCTACGTACATAAAGACAATGCCAGAAATCTATTTCATATAAGGAATCAAAATTCTGTAGAATTTACTGCATTATTTTAAATTACTTGGACGTTGACTCGGAATCTAAGGTCAAAAAGCCTTTTTAAATCTAGATGCAGGAATATTAGCCTATTTTTTTCCTTATAGCCTTGTCCTATTAACTCTCTTCTGTTTCACTTTTGCTCTGATAAAGAGACATATGAGTATTCTGTGTGTGCAGTGTAACTAATAAGCTATATATTCACTTTGAGTAAGTCTTTCCAAGAAACTATTCTTAAAACAACTGTTTTGTTTTGTAAAGTTTCTCCAGAGTCTGATCACAGTATAGCTGAACTGAAGAAAGATTTTTTGCTGCCTTTGTGAAGTTTTGTTCAGATGGAGATATCCATACATTTAATACTCAAAATCTCTTAAGTCTGACCATGCTTTACCTTAGCAGAATTTGTTGTTGAATGGCTTATAAAGAAGCCAAGAAAAAAAAGCCTCAAAAATCTTCCGAACACACAGAAAATCTCATTTCATCAGAGCTGTTTTAGACTGAGTTCATGTTTTTAAAAAGTCCTTAACTAGGAAAATGTTGCCACCTTGCTACAGTTTTCAGGTATGTTTTAAACACTGCAAGGAATCCCATGGCACAAGACTGTTAACTTTTTCCATAAACATGATATTCTTTCATATACTTTCTTCGCCTTGGCCGAGCCTTTCGGACCCATGAAACACGTTTTGCATCAGACCAAGAGTACTGACTAGGCTATAAAGAAACAAAGTCACTCTTCTCCAGCACACTTGAGTAGATGCAGAAGGCAAACATCTGAATAAGTAAAAACTTGCTTAAGTTAAAGGTCAACACCAAATTAGACCAAACCCAAGTATTTTCTGTTCTTATACTACATTTTTAGCCTAGTTTCCCCAGAAAATAAAGAGTATGCATGCTTATCATCTAGATAGTTTTCTATTCAGCTGGCTAGGTCAAAGAGAGGTAAAATCTTCAGATAATAAATTTCTAAACATTTCCTTATTTTAACAATGGGAAGGAGTTGAGAAACCAAATTAACCCAGCCATGAAGGGAATGGCAGCCATCCATCCATTCCTGTTACACACTCTATTTGGCAGCAACTAACTGCCTAACTACCAGGGATAGCCTGACCAGATATTTATCAGATATGTAGCTCTGGAAACCAGTCAAAGAATATCTTGCACATGGAAACATGTAAGGCATACGCAGAGGACTGGAAAAGGAAAGGGGGGCTGAAAAGGACAGGAAAGGATTAGGCCATATTACAGAGGAGGACTTGAATTGCTGGAGAGGGAGACACTGGGGAAAAATGCCTCTGTGTATATGGGAAAGACAGGTTTTGCAGTGGCAATGCTCCCACATGAGGCTGTCACAAGCCTCATTTATAAATGCTGCTTATTAGCCCATGATGTAGAGATTTGTAACCTAGTGCTAGAGGGGCTCCATTCTACGTCCACCTATCTTTAAACATATAATGCTCTTAACTAGACACAATATGGCATGCAACTTGAGAAAGACAAGGTCTAGTGTTAAACTAAGATTCAAAGCATTTTCTAGTTTACCTTTTAATTTAAAAATATATTAGTTCTATAAACTGAAGTACCTTACAGGATACATGTATGCCATTTTTTATGAGAAGATGGAATAGCAGATTTAATTTACTGCTGTCCAATTTGCCTACAAATTATATGGGTCCAAAACCTGAAGAAGTCCTACTACAGTATATTTCTGAAAGCTAATTTTCTAGCAGTTCTAATAGAATGAACTACCAATTCTCTGGTGGATATGTAAAATGAACTCTGTATCAACTTTACCTAACATTTCCTTTTAGTGAGAAATTTATGGTCTAATAGACAGACTGTGCAGTACTGGGATAAATTTACAAGCTCTTCTGGATAAAGGATTTGTTATAGTAGGATCATCTAAGTATGTCTTTTCTTAACTCACGCCAAAGTGTACGCACTAAAACACATCACATTTTAGAAAATGAGATTAGTATAAGAAAGGAAAAATACGATTATATAAATATAGAAGGAAAATCTTTTATACCCCACTTTGTAAAGAAAGTAAATCAAATTCACATTTTTAAGCTTTGTTATCCTCTAATCTTCTGCTTTATCTTCCTAGAATCAGCTGAATTTCACAGAGTGCAAATTTGCATCCACTATTCCAGAAAAAATCTAATTAGATCTATTCCAGGGTCACAAAGCACAGATAGACTAATTTCTAAAGAAAATTTGCATTCTACTGATAAAACCCATAGTAATTAAAAACTCCTTTACATAAATTCCTCATATTAAATAAAACATTTTTAATTCTGGAATAGGATGGATTGTAGTTCTCTATTACTGAAAAAATCAGCTATTAAGTGCTTGCAAATGACATGGCCAGAAGTACCATTATATTACAGAAGAACAAAAAGCTAATATCAGTATTTTTCCATGGAACTTGTATTAAATTTTGTGCACAACATCTCCTTTCAAAGTCATCCCAGAAGTCATTCTTTTTTATAAATGATCATCTATGTATCATAAACATGGCTGGGTGGTTTCTTTTTCAAAAGCCACAGTCAATTTTAGTAGCATATTTAATAAGATAAGATAATGGAGGAAGACAGTTAAGTACATGCTTCATCAAAGCTTGCACTGCCTCATGTATAAGAAGTACTTTGCCCATCACCACACAAACGCTAATTAATGCTCTTAGTATTAAGTCTCCTGCTCCTTTTAGTGTTTCACTTCAAAGAAGTCCTGCATCAACACATAAGTGTTTTACTGTCTTTTAACACTGCCAAACTGGTTGAAACCTTTTTTGAAGACTATTCCCTAATCTTTCCTATCTAGGAAATGTACTGTGAACATTTCTTTTTCTAAATCTTTCCCCCCTGCTTATCACTGCAGACACCGTAATGTACAACCACCTACTATTCTAAGAAACAAAGGTGCTTCTGCAGTTGTGACTTCCAACCTAATCAAATCAAATCAAATCAAAGTAGGTCCCCAGCCAGTAGATGGATTCTTCCCACCCAGTCCCCAGAGAGCCCTGTGACACTTTCCAGGAGGATGCTGTTCTCTACTACAAGCCTGCAGCACACCATTACTGATTACTACTTCCGCACTTACAGAGAAAGACAACATGCTTATTTATACTGACACTTTTAAACTAGCTTATTTTCCCACTATAAAAAGTAATTTCTATGAAAGACTTCTGCACCAGGAAAGAGGGCAGACTGGGAATGAAGAACACCCTGTTCTCTACAGAATCATTTTTATTTTAAATCATGCAGATGGGGTACAATATACTAAACCTGCTCAGTAGAGAAAGGTAAAAAATACCGCACAGAGATGTGCTGCACCTAAATACATGTTAAGGGGTCAGAGATATATCTAAAAAAAGTATTTCATAACAATAAAATAAAACAAAACATCTTCCTTAAGAAAACACGAATTCGAATATGGAGCAGCAAATTAGCCATATATTTTATAATTAAACAATCAGAACATAACATCTCGATTAATTAAATCTGGTCAATACAATAGTGGCTTTAGCAGTTAATTAATCTATACTTTTAATTCCAGCATCTACTCATTTACAAAAAGTCTGCAAGAAGCTTGTCAAGAAATCCCAAAAGAATTTTTACTATAGAGAAGAAAGTGTATGCTGTGCAATGAGTCTGATGTATTGCACAGATGCTGATTATACATGGTAATAAAATTGACAGCTCTTCTTTGCATTTTCCCCATCTGCTTTTAAAGTAAATGGCAAAAACAGCTGTCAGAAAACAGAAAATAGATTTCAGTGATGGGATTCAGTGCAGCTCCTGCATCTGAAGAACTGCAATACACAGCCAACACATCTCTCATCATA